TTGATGCGGGCAAAAGAGCCCTAGAATCTCCTACCTGGCTCCACCTCCAGAGTCAGTGCCATGATGATGACACGCTATGGGCGCATGCCTCTGGTGACCTGCCTTTACGTCGGCACCCTGCTGACCTTCCTACTAAGCCTATTGACGCAGAACCGGAGCGCTTTGTAAGGCCCGTATAGATCAGTCGGTGGGGAGTGCTTTGTAAGGTTTGTATAGATCTGTTGATGTGGCTGTCTCATGACGCTGCGGCACGTATTGTTCTCAGCAACATTCTCCTCGTGATTGAGGAGGCCCATTCAGCCAGGTTCGATCTGCCAAGGATTTGTTTCCTGCAATTAAGAACCGCTAGTCCAACTCTCTTGGTCGCCTCTTCGTTCCATTTCATTTTCCAAACCTAGGAGCGTTTAACCGTACTGCTGACCTTGTCACCCACCTGCGCTTGCTTGACGTCAGCTACCGTGCTGCTTACACTGAAGCTGAGCTTGCAGCCACCCCCCCCGCCCATGCACATCACTATTCACTTCATCGTCACTAGCCTCCTTGACCGCCTTGCATCTGTACATGACGCACTTCTTTGGAAGCAACCTAGTGCACTCACTATCGACGTCCTTGAGACAGCTCTCAAGGACATCGAGAGCAACATCCACTCCGTTGCCTCCACCTCTACCGCCGTAGTTCCCCCGCTCTTTCAGGGGTGTACTGTCCCACAGCTCCCCACCTTCACTACTTCTCTTGCCTCTAGTGCGTCTCCTGTTTCTGACGAGACTGCAGCCGTTCCACCACGAGTGGGCTGCCCAGGGGCAAGGGAGGTAAGAAAGGGGGGAAGGGTAGTAGCGGTGGTGGTGGTGGTGGTGGAGGGGGGGGCGGAGATAGTGGAGGCACTAGTGTGTCTAGTGGAGGCGGCACTGGAGGTCGTACTGGGCCTGCGGGCCCGCCGAGAGGGGTGCTGGACTGGCTTCTTGGTACACGGCACAGCAGCGGCAGCAGTCCCAGAAGTAACAGCCACATCAGGGACAACAGCAGCAGCCACAGCAGGGACAGCAGCAGCACCAGGCACAACTTCAGCTGCAGGCTCAGTGGCAGGTGCAGCAACAAGGTCAGCGGCAGGTGCAGTAGCAATCTCAACAATGGGGGCCTGGTGGACCAAGGAGCGCTGGGCGTTTCGTGGTGTCACTCCTCCTCCTTGCCAGTACCTGATCCAGGCTGGCAGCCGTCTGGGTGGCCCTTGTGGCTGTCTTCACCCTCCCGGTCAGTGCTTTGCGTAGCTCACGGACTGGGTCCACACACGGTAGGGGTTTGGTCCCTCTCCGGGCCGGGCCCCTCTTCGGACTGGGCCCCGCTCGCTTGCTCTCTTGGTCTTGCTTTGTTCAACATGTCTGGGGCAGAGTTGCCTTGTGATCTGCTTCTATGATGTATGCTGATGTTTTCTATAGTGTTGCTGGATTTGTTTGATCGCATATTTGTAGCTGAGGATCCTTGCCTGTTGCTAGTGTAGGTGCTTGTGCTTCCAGTCTGGTGCTAATGTAGTTCCTAGCCCAGGCGTACCTATGGCAGACGCTTTGCTCTCCTTCTCAGTGCTTCTTTTGCGACCACACGACTGTCACCCACCACTTCTTTTTCGGTTGCCGTGGCTGATCTTACTTCAGGACCAGCAATTGCCCGCAACTCTACCACCCTCCCGTGCGCAGCTTTCCCCTCTGGTGTCTTCACTGGTCTCCACGACCCCTCATGCGCCAGGAACATAGTGTGTATTGGACCCCTTCAGGACCTCGGTGTTGACACCTGGTTTCCGCCGCATGAGCGTGTTGCGACCTGCGTGGACAGTGCTACTAAGGCACCTCTGTCCATGTTTCGTCACAAGCCCCGCTTAGGTCTCTTCACATTTCACATGGTCTTCCTCCTCCGGACTCGTCCCCGACTGTTTTCTCTCCTCCTCAGTCACAGTCACCTCCTCTCGTTGTCCCATGCACTTGGGTCTCACGTTGTCCCCTTTGTGCTCCTCCTCTCGTCTCCTTTCGACGACCTCCGCCCTATCCTGTTCCGTACTACTTCTCCTCGTTCTTCGTCTCAGTCGTTTCTCCTGTTACCTCCTGAGTCGTCACTTACAGCCTCCTCTCACCCTCTCACTAAGTACAACCACACGACTCGTCCTATTGTCTCACGTATTCTCGCCTCTCTTGTCACTAAAACTACTACTTCTCCATCGTCTGTCTCAGCTCCTGTTGTCGCTGCCGCTAACTTTGCCACCACCTGCCGCCTTGACTATGCCACCCACGTGGTGGCTGCCCGTCCTCTGTCCGCTGGGGGTGAGTCTGCCCTTGGCTGTGACGTCCTAGAGGATAGGTAGTTTGAGCTGGAGTTCTTGACACCCGCTTCTCCCCATCTCTGAGCCATGCTGCTAGCCCCTGAGGAAGACCGCGACGCCCTTGACATACCAACTCTTCGCACGTAGCATGAGGCAGTGTCAGGGTAGTGGGCCTCTCTGTAAATCGTTGCCATGGACTCAGAGATGGCGTCTTGTTGAGCGTTGCTTCAAAACTTCTACCGATGACCCGTCACTGTTCGTTCGTTCTGGCTCACGCCTTTCTTCGTCCTCGTCTACGTCGACAACATGGTATTCGCTACAGCAGACAGTGTTTCCCTGGCTGAGGTGAAGTCTAAACTGCAGAAAAGACACATGTGCACTAACTTTGGTGAAGTGCACCACTACCTTGGCTTGCAAATCACCAGGGACAGAGCCACTTGCACCATTACACTATCTCAGTCACACATGGTGCAGCAGGTCCTTCAGCGGTTTAGGATTCAATTCTCCACCATACAGCCCACTCCACCTGCCATTGACCACGGACTCACCGCTCCCCTTCCTGATAAGCCCATTGAGTATAACGGTCCCTACGCAGAGCGTGTGGGCTGCCTCATGTACCTGATGACATGTACTCGTTCGGACCTCGCTTTTCCTCTCAGTGTGGTGGCTCGCTTTGTTGTGCCTAGGAGACATTGTCTTGTTCACTGTAAGGCTGCTTTGAGGTAGCGAAGTACCTGGCGAGTACATTTGGCATGTGGCTTGTGCTTGGAGGGACTCAACCAGTTCTTCCGACCGGTCACTGTGACTCTTGTGTCGAGAGCCTCGACTGGAGGGCAGAGTGTTGCACATCGACGTGAGGTTCTTTTTCCTACAAAAGCTGCAACAACTTGGGCATGCACGCTTGGACTTTGTGGCCTCACCGGTCAATACTGTAGACATCTTCACCAATACTGCAGACATCTTCACCAAGGACCTCCCGCCTGATGACCACAACATGTTCTGTCTGCAGTTAGGCCTTGTTGAGACAAGCCCTTAGTTATCGTAGACTTGCCACTTGTTTCTTGCTCTCTCTAACTTGTTGTTTACATGAATCTGTAAACTTTTGAACTAGCCATGTGGCTTCTTGCTTCTCAGCTGTGTGGTGACTTTGTGATACACCCTGAGCTTTGTTTTGTTGCTTTTCTTGACTGGTCTTATGACCATCTGTGTTTCTTGGTCTCTCTTGATTTCCCTCTCTTAGCCTATGGGAATGTATTTGTATATGTGTGTTAGGCTATAGTGAGGTACGTTGTAGGGAGTATAACATTGTTAAGGTTGTATTTGTACCTCCCTTGTTTGCTAGTTGATCATTCTGCTGTTGGTTCTTTGAGATTTCGAGGCATGTTCATCACTCGGTGTGTCAATAGAACAAATTATGCTTTTTTTCCGGAGTCGTCTTAGGTGTCAACATGCAAATATACTTACATGTGTACTTTGCAGGCTAGGTAGGGCTATACGTAACATTGGGGGTATGGGATGTTAAATGTCCCTTCTTTGTATTTCCCTATCACGAGTAGGTTACCGCCCGTCTACCTCCCTAGCTCATCGTCACCGTGCCGCCGCCGCCATGCGCGCCTGCAACTCCTGCCCATCGTTGCAACGTCGCCACCACGCGCGATTGCAGCTGCTGCCCATTGCCGCGGCTCCAGCTACTGTCCCCCCTCCCCCCCCCCCCCCCCTCTCCCCCCCTCTCCCTTGTCATATGTGATATATATTAGTTGTACGCTACGTTAATTTATGCTCTAAATAGTATAACACATATGCAAGTTAGGGTTTCCTACAACTCTTGCGAGCTGTCATAATCACCATTCTTGTAGGTTTCATTCCTTTACATGGTATCAGTTAGGTTAGGACCGCACTTCCATTCGCCCGCCCCTAGCCCGACCCTTCTTGTTTAGGGCTTTGCGTGTGGAAAAGGACACTGGGATTGGCCTCTGGTTTGGCCGGAAGGGCTGCAAGCTCAGCGCTTGGGAAGGCGTGGGCGTGCTCACCCGCTATGCAAACATGCCCTTTGACCCAGTTGGTTAGTGAACTGGGTCCATTGTCCGGGGGGCCGGGGTTCAAATCATGCTGTCGTCGCTTTCAGTGGAGTGAGAGCGAACTTTCCTTCCTCTGGGTGAGACCACTCCCAGTGAGGGGAGTGTGGAAAGGACACTGGGATTGGCCTCTGGTTTGGCCGGAGGCGCGCTCACCCGCTATGCAAACATGCCCTTTGACCCAGTTGGTTAGTGAATTGGGTCCGTTGTCCGGGGTGCCAGGGTTCGAATCCCGCTGTCATCGCCTTCCGTGGAGTGAGAGCGAATTTCCTTCCTTAGGGTGAGGCCGCTCGCAGTGAGGGGAGTGTGGAAAACGACACTGGGAGTGGCCTCTGGTTTGGTCGGAAGGGCTACAAGTTCGGCGCTTGGGAGGCGTGGGCGCGCTCACCCGCTATGCAAACATGCCCTTTGACCCAGTTGGTTAGCGAATTGGGAAGCTATCCCTGCATTTCGTCCCGGCCGTAGCATCCAGCCGTCCATTACCTTAGCCGCCAGCAGTGCCAGCGCACCAGCCAGCTGCACGCTTCGCACACACCCGCAAGCACGCACCCGCCAGCCCACATGCCAGTTAGCAGCACGCACGTACGCGCCAGTAGTACGCCAGCAGTCCGCAACCACCAATGCACAAGCAGCGCCAATGCGCCCGCAACCCGCAGGCGCACCAGCATGCCAGCAACTGCGACTGCATGTGCGCCTGCAGCGCCATCGTGCCTGCAGCCTGCACGCATGCCAGCAGCACCTGCGCACTAGCGGCCGCCAGCGCACCAGCACGGAAACATAGCAAGCACTCGCCAACAGCAACGCTAGCCAGCAGTGGCTGCCAGCATAGCGCGCCTGCAGTGCTAGCAGCGCGTGCCAGCCAGCGCGCCAGCTGCACCAACGCGAGGGATGAGGAGGAGGAGGAGGAGGAGGAGGAGGAGGAGGAGGAGGAGGAGGAGGAGGAGGAGGAGGAGGAGGAGGAGGAGGAGGAGGAGGAGGAGGGGGGGGGAGGAGGAGGAGGAGGAGGAGGAGGAGGAGGAGGAGGAGGAGGAGGAGGAGGAGGAGGAGGAGGAGGAGGAGGAGGAGGAGGAGGAGGAGGAGGAGGAGGAAGAGAAGGAGGCGGAGGAGGATACAGGCAATGGGAAGTCCTAAACTACAGGTGCAGGCACTGCGGAGTGTGTTAGCAAGGGGGCGTGAGGGCACTAGTTGGGTGGGTGGGTAAGTAGGGAACATGCGTGGCGGAAGCGAAAATCATAACATAGCTTACTACGATGTGAATTATAGAACGAATAAATAAAATGAGAGCATACGTGGGGTTACCGTATATGCAAAGCTGTACCCTATATAATGCACATCTACAACAGTACACATGCAAATATAATAGAGGATGCTGACATTTGTATGCAATTTATGACCGACCCAACTGAACCTTGAGCAACCGAAGGGGCTAGATTTGTCTGGGAAAAGAATGCCCATGGCAGAAGTCTTTTGCGACCGAGGCATGGACCAGAAATGTGTGGACGCGATGTGCCCCTTATTCTCTATGACCTGTCTCGTTTGCAGGAGAAGGGGTCTGCCCTTCCTACGTAGTCGGATCTTCGGGAAAAAGGGGATCTGCACTTGGTCACGTCAGATTGGCTTCGGTTCACCCAGCGATGCAATCGACTTCACCTCCCCAACACCTCCAAGCCGTTGATGCTGGCAGACCAATCACCGACGTTCGATGATCAAAGCAAGGCACACCCGAAAGCTGAGGCTCCCACTGAGCTGACATGGCATAAAGACCTACGCCCCACAGGCGCTCCGCATGATCCTTTATAGGCGTCCTTGGACAGGTTCATATTCCACTGTACACCTCCGCTGTTCCCATCGCGTTCTTGGTGAGGGATAACTTTCGGAAGCGCGTGTGGAACCTCAGCACAGAGACACCACAGAGTCCTGACCTCGGGCAACTATACCAATTGGAGTGACCTACTTTATCACCGATGTTACCACAATACCTTGCACATCTAAGCAAGGTTCACAATTTAGTAGGAGCAAGCTAGACTCATATTTATATCCTAAACAAAGGTTTTGTACCCTGATTTTCCTGGGAACATCTGAGTAAATCACCTGTTTCCTTTCTGACAATCTTTTCATAGTGTGTTGTGCGCCGCCGCCGGTTAAGATAGGAAAACAGGAACTGGCGGAGGCGGGCTGCACAGGAGGTTCGGATTAGCCTCGTGGTTCGGATTAGCAGCCCGTCCCTAGTTGATTATAGAAACCATACTCCATCAATCGAATACTTCGTCATTAGAAGTTGGAACACAAATCATCCCGCACTCTGACGTCCAGAGCACGACATTCGGAATTGACCATTCTCTGTGAGCTTCCGATACCATTTTTCAGGAATTTCTTTCCTGTTCCCTGATTGCCTGCAACCCTCGCTTCACGTTCAGCACCACGCGTACCTGTAATTTCTCCCGGCCCGTCAACCAGCCTTCCACATGACGGACGGCCAACACGCGGAGAGCGGGACCGGAAGCTTCGCGGACGTGGAGTGGCGCAGCGAGTGCTACCGCAGCGCGGCGATGACGCACGTCGACCCTGACGACGACGACGACGAGGCGCGCGAGCTGCATGCGGAGCTGGCGGAGGCGCAGGAGCGACGGCTGGTGGAGCGGAAGCTGTCGCTCGTGGTGGGCATCTGCTTCGTCTTCATGCTCGTCGAGGTCGTTGGCGGTGCGTGCTCTTGCGCGCCTCACTGCCGTACACGCTGCTCCTTTCTCCCCGTTATCTCCACTAGAACCTTAAGTCGGTATCCTCTCCCCTGACTTACCCAATTTTGCCACCTTCCCCCTTTCCCCTCCCCCCTCCCTCCTCCCTCCCATGCCCGTAATCCACGCGCCGGAAAATATGTCTTTTCGTCGCCTTTTGTTCCTTCTCGTGTCCCTCGTAGCCCCTGATTTCGCGCTAACCTAATTTCTCTCCCGCTATTAAATCTCTCCTCGCTGCCTCCTCGCCGATTCTATTAACGCTCCCGTCATGCCTCCCTCCGTCTCCCTCCCGCCCAGGCCTACTGGCTAACAGCCTCGCGATAATGACGGACGCGGCGCACCTACTAACGGACGTGGCGGGGCTCGTGATATCGCTGCTGGCGGTGCGCATGGCGGGGTGGCGGCCCGACCCGCGGTTCACGTACGGCTACGTGCGCGCGGAGGTGGTGGGCGCGCTGGCGTCCGTGGCGCTCATCTGGGTCGTCACGGCGCTCATCCTCTACGAAGCCATCTCCCGGTGCGCCGCTCTGCTCTGTTCCCCGCACACGCTCGCTCGCTTGCTCGCGCGCCGTTGATGCGCTTGTCCGGGGCCTGTCCTTGAACCAGCAACCGTCCCCCCAACGCCCTCACAGCCGTAGCGCACTGCCGATTTTTCTGCTTGCCTTGTCTCCATCTCTCATCCAATACCCCTGACCTTCGCCCGTCCCCCTTCCCACCCACAATCCGTTACCCCAAACCCCTCGCCTCCCCCTTCCCCTTTCCCCAAACCTCTAATCTTGGCATCTAACCGAGTTGCTCCCACTTGCCCTGCCGAAACCCGCCAATTCCGCGAGTGCAGGCTGTTCTACGAGCACCCTCCCGTGGATGGGGGGCTCATGTTCGTGATCGCGGCGTTCGGTACAGTGGCGAACATCGTGATGGCCGTGTGCCTGCACACGCCCGCCGTCATTGGCAACGACGGCGCCGCCTCCTCCATCCCCCACTTCCACATGCACCTCGGCACCTCGTGCTCTGATGGCCACGCACACTCGCACTCGCACTCGCAATCGCACTCGCACGCCCACGAGCACGACCACAGCCACAACCACTCTCATGACCACTCTCACTCTCACGACCACTCGCATTCACACAATCACTCACACTCGAAGCAGCATGCCGCGGAGCACGCACACTCCCACGGGCATGGCCATGCAAGTGAGCATCCGGGATGCACACATGGCCTTTCCAGCAGCCTCTCGCACGCGCACGCTGATGCAGCTGCCCCCTGCCATGCCGTGCATCATGCACATGAACACACCCACCACCACCACCACGACGAGCACCACCAGCAGAAACAACAATCTGGGTGTCACACTGATCACGTGGCTGTTGAGCTCCCACTCCTCGCGGCTTCTCCTGCCCATGCTGCCGCTCACACCCACACTCACTCTCATGCTTGTGATGCTGGTTCAGGCGACGCACTGGCTTTATCACCCACCACCCCCATCGCACTGGCTTTATCCGCAATCTCCTCCTCCTCCTCCTCGCTTGCTGTGTGCGACGAATCCTCCCTACCTCTCATTCTCAACCAGGACTGCTCACACTCGCATGCTCACTCCAAGTCGCATTCCCTCTCACAACCACACGTGCATGCCCACTCCCATGCCCCGGCCCCACACGGCACCCGGAAGGAGAGCAGCCGACAAGGCGAGCAGCGAAAGCCAGCGCACAGCTGCAGCCACGGCAAGAAACCACCAACCCACTCCAAAGCCTCTCTCCCGGAGCCAGCAGCTGGCGCAGTGGAGGCAGCAGCAACGGCAGCTGTAGCAGCAGTGGCGGGCGTGGCTACAGCCGTGGCGTCCATAGTGTGGCGCAGCCAGGCAGCAGCGGTGCCATCGGGGCATGGCAGAGAGCGGGATGTGAGCATGCGCGTGGACCTGAACGTGAATGTGAACATGAGGGGCGCGCTGCTGCACGTGCTGGGCGACCTGCTGCAGTCCATTGGTGTGCTCATCGCCGGTGCTGTCATCTGGGCCTACCCTTCCATGTAAGCTCCCTCTGTTCTTCACGTACAAGCAAGCACTCTTGGTTGTGGAGCTTGCTTGGTTTCTGCCCTTGTTTCGCACAAGTATGCTGTCGCGTCCATGCCATTCAGTCCCCATTCCTGCAAGCCACATGTGACCTGAAGCGCTATGCCTATTCCCTCTGGTGATTTCCTGTGTGATTTTCTGGTGTGTGTGGGGGGAGAGCAGGCAGTGGGTGGACCTGCTGTGCACGTTCCTCTTCTCGTTCCTGGTGCTCGCCACCACCACGGGCATCACGGGAGACATTGTCTCCGTGCTGCTGCAGACGGCTCCTCGCAACGTGGACACAGAGGAGGTATGCCTTTGGAGAAACAAAAAGATTCTTGGGGGTGTCCTCTTCTTGGGGGTGCAGTGTGAGACTGATGAGAAACGATGCCCCTGCATACCTCCAATCCATCCCTCAGCTTGAAGAGCGTGGACATGCGGATGTATGTGCAGCCGTGTATGCTCACATGCGATTATGCATATGCGCTGCCACCTCCTCCTCCTCAACCCTGCTCATCCTCTCTGCTTCAGTTGCACTCCCCATGTATTCATTACAATGTTCCTCTCCACATTCCCCATGCTTCCATTTCTTGCCACAGCCTCATCCCCCCTCCCCCATCCGCCCTCCTCCCCTCCCTCGTCCCCACCTCTTCAGGTGCGCCACACCCTATCTGAGCTCCCAGGAGTGGCAGCGGTGCACAGCCTGCATGTGTGGCAGCTGTCGCTCAACAAGTCCGTGCTCTCCTGTCGCATCCTCGCCCTCCCAACTGCTGCGCCTGAAGAAATTGCAGCTGCGACCCGGCGCCTGTGCAAGAAGCAGTGGGGAATTCGTCACGCGACAATCGAGGTGCAACGGCAGGGGCATGGCATGCCTGTCCCCTCGCTCTCTTCCTCGTCACTCTCCTCCATGGCCTCGTCACATTCAGGCCAGGCCCAATCACCGTCCGTGCCACTTTCGCCTCCCTGATTTGTTGACAATAATGTATGGTAATAAAGTGTACACATTGATTTGCCAACATAAAGTTGGTGCCATTTGGTGTATCAGTGTAGTGTGTGCCTGACCAGCCAATCATTTTTTGCAGTGGCAATGCAGCACTTTTAGCAGGTCTATGTCCAACGGTTTGTATTTCGACAGTCTGGCATGTTGTTACGTGAGCAACTGAACAAGAAAGCGAAAGTTGCACTGCAAGGGGCTAAAGGAGTGTGAGTAACACCTCGCGATATTTTCCCGGATATAGAACCCTCCCCTTCTGGGAATTATGTGGAGTGTGGATTCCAGTGTAGACTTGATACTACCCAGGTGCGCACCCACCAAGCCCAGGAGTTTCCGCAAAACCCTGAATCTCTCTAGCTAGCAGCCAACCACACACGCCACATTTGGCGCGTGCTACCAGATTTTCTCTGCGGTCAAACGGGACATTGCCAGCGTGTCCGATTTCGCTATGGTCGCACGCAGTCACACCAGCAGCAAAAGCCAGTGGGCTTCTTCGAGTCGCCACGGAAAGTCGCAGGCCGCGTAATCGCCTCCCTCCACTCGCATATTTCTGGTATCCTGTTCCGCCTATTTCGCCTGGCCAAGCTTGGTGCGAACGAAAGCAGTTAGCGACAATTCTGCCCTGACAGACGGCCAAGGCAACCAACACCACCCTCCACATAAATGGACAGTCATTGGCCCAAACATGCCACATCCCGTGCAACCAACCAAGCCTAAGGTCTTGGAGTCAGCATTTAGTAGTTGTTACCCTACTTCGCTTCTAGAGAATACGATCCTTCTTCCCTGTGTCGCCGGCCCCTAAGCTCGCCGCCCACACTTGCAGAACCTAGCTCACCCGTCGCCGCTTCTCGTTGTCCCTTTAGACGCAAAAAGCTTGCGACTGTCGCGTTTCGCGTGCGGCTCCTCGCGAGCGCGCGCCGTGCGACGAACGATGAGCTCGGAGACCACCGCCAAGTCCATCAGCAACACAGCGCTCGCGTGCTTGTTCGACGCGCACTCGCTTCGATGGCGGCTCGTGAAACTCGGACACGGAGGGCCAGACAGCAGCGCTGACAGCCAGCCAACCTGCACGTCGCGCAGCACGTTCCGTGATGACCGCTTGGAAGAGCCGTGCTGCCCGTCGCGGGCGATGCTGTGGACCACGGACGACCCGCCGCGCCTTGACACGGACGACCCGCCGGGCCTTGAGACGTGCGAATCGGCGCGCTTTGCGACGGAAGACCCACCACGCGTTGGGACCTGGGCGAGAGGTCCTGACGCTCACTCGCCCTCCGACTTGGCACCTCCGTCCTCGCCACCACCGCCTGCACTCGCAGGCGTAGCCGAGGCAGATGTGGGAGCAGCAGCAGCAGCAGCAGCAGCAGCAGCAACAGCGTCGGTAGCAGAGAGGCGGCATGCAGCGCGATTCCTCAGCGGCGAGCTGATGGGCATGGAGCAGCTGGGGCGCCTGACTCGCCGCACCTACTACCTCTGCAGCTTTGGCTGCTCCGGCCCCGATTCCGAATCCTCCCTCTCCACCGACGAACGCCTGGAGATCCGCCCCCTTCCGCTCCCCGCTGCCTTGCACACGCGTCTCCAGCAGCTGCTGTCGCGACACCCGCAGCACGTGAGCGCGCTTCACATGCCCGTGACTCTCGATCACTCCTCTCACCAGGCGTGGCAGCTTTCGGAAATGATGGGCTTGGCGCGCTCATGCGTGAACCTGCGGTCGCTGCACCTTGTCTCTGAGCCGCCGAGACACGCCTCGTGCCCATTTCACGAAGAACTGGCAAAGCCGAGGGATTGGGGATGGAAGAAGCACACTCAGACGGAGCAGATGAGCTAACCTGACCTCTCTCTCCCTCCTCGCTCACCGCACCTTCCCTCCCTGCCTCTACTCCCTCTCCTCCCTCACTCTCCTCTCCATCCCCCTCGCCTCCCCTCTCCTCTCCCCCACTTCTCTCGCCCTCTTCACCCACTGGCCCCGTTTGTCTCATCTGCACGTCAATGGTGAGGGGCCCGCCGAACCTACCTGCTGCCACACCTTAACTGCAAGTGGTCGCTCCGAACCTGCAACTGGTCACACAGAACCTCGTTTATGCCCCGAAGCAACCCCGTCGTCAGCCTCCCTTCGCCACGTCACTCTCACGGGGACAGCTGGCGTCATCCCATTGGCGATGTGGGGACGGCTGTGCCCTCAGCTGCAGTCGCTCAAAATCCATGGCTCGCCCCTCGTGGCCGTGCAAGGATGGGGGGGGGCTTCGGGGGAGGCACTGGCGGAGTTGAATGGGAAGGGCGCATATGGCGCATGTGGTGCAGCAGAGACGGCAGCTGCGTGCTTGTTTCCTTTCCTTGAGGAGCTTGTGCTGCAGAATGTGCGCCGCCATGCGGGTTCCCACACAGAACAAGGGCACATAGCAGCAGGTCATGCAGGTCCGCAGCAGCAGCAGCAACAGCAGCAGACTCTCGCATGGATGGGCCTGCTGCCGCGCCTGACCCACTTGGCCATCCATGACACCCGATGGCCTTCCCATCCCCAAATGCACGCAACCACCATCCTGCCGCACCTCCTCCCCAACCTCACCTTCCTGCGGATCCACTCCCCCCCACGTGCCCCCCTGCCCGTGCTGCCCCACCTGCGCACGCTCATAGTGGGGTCCTACCCGCACTCCTCGCGCTTCCTCGCGTCGCTCGCCCTCTTCCCCGCCCTCACTGCCCTCCGCATCTTCAACCTCTCCATGCACAACTACCACTCCGCCCTCTCCTGCCCTCCCCACCTCACATCGCTCCAAATCTGCCACTCCCACACTCCCCTCCTCCCCGACTGCCTCCGCCTCTTCTCCTCCCTCACTCGCCTCCACCTCTTCCAGTGTACCCCGCTCCGCGCCCTCCCCTCCTTCCTCTCCTCCTTCTCCTCCCTCACCCACTTCTCCTTCAACCGTGGCTACTACCCTGTTGTGATCCCCGTGGGGCTTGAAGGGTACCTGCAGGGGAGAGAGTGGGCGCGAGAGCAGGAGGAGGAGGGGAAGTGGAAGAGGCGAGGGAAGGAGCACCAAGGGAGGAGGCCGAAGACACCGTACGAAATTGAGGAGGAGAGGAGGAGGAAGACGAGACTTCAGAGTGTGTTTGAGGGATCGGTGTTGAGTGAGGCGGAGAAGGAGGAGCAGAGGAAGTGGTGGCGGCAGGTGGGGAGGAAAGAGGAGGAGCAGTGGGAGTGGAGGTGGAGAGGAGAGGATGGGGACAAGCAGCAGCATGAGGCGGAGCAGGGACGGGAGGTGGTGCAAGGGGTACAGGAGGTGAAGGAGAGCGCCTCACGCAAAGATGCGAGTGACAGCAATCATGACTCGCTGTTGACACCAGAGGAGGTGCCAGCAGAGATGTTACAGCATGGGCGGAACAGCAGCACCAGCACTCCCAGAAGCAGCAGTGCCGACAGCAGCAGCAATCAGCTGGTGCAGCTGCTACCACCGGAGGTGCTACAAGGCGTGTTGCAGCGGGTGCAGAGTCCTGTGGAGCAGGCGAGAGTGAGACTGGTGTGCCGCGAGTGGCACCACTGGTGCCGCCTCCACACCTCCTGCTTCGCCCTCGCCCTCCACCCCCTCTCACTCTCCTGGCTGCCCGTCCCCCTGCTCCACCTTCCTTTCTCCTCCTCCTCCTCCTCCTCCTCCTCCTCCTCCTCCTCCTCCTCCTCCTCCTCCTCCTCCTCCTCCTCCTCCTCCTCCTCCTCCTCTTCTTCTTCTTCTGCCAAACCAGACTGCAGACTGACAGCAGCAGCAGGTGTCAGCGGTTCTTCTCTCTTCTCCTCCGCATGGCTCCCCTCCGACTCACCCTTCTGGCTCATCCACTCTTCCCCCACCTCCCCCTTCTCCCTGCTCCCTTCCTCCCACCCTCCCTTCACCCTCCCCCCTCCCATCACCCCCTCCTCCCTCTCCACCTGCTTCACCCACTATCTAACCCCCTGGCGCCCCCTCTCCCCCATCTGGTTCGCCTCGCTCCCCTCCCCCTCCTCCCTCGCCCACACCCTCGCCCGCTACCCCAACCTCTCTACGCTTGCCCTTCCCCTCGTCTCCACCACGGCCTGCCCCCTCCGCCCCTCCCATCTGCGCTCGCTGCTCGCCGCTGCTGCCGCTCTCCCTGCTCTCACCTCGCTCTCCTTGCTCCTGGAGCCTGGCTTCTCAGCCAACCACGAATGGGGGTATGGACGGGACGACTGGTGGGCGGATGCCGGGATGGAGAGGAAGGTGCGGCGATGGTGGGGGGAGGCGAACCAGGAGATGGAGAGGGGGCTGTTTGCCGTGCTGAAGAGATGCCGGGGACTCAAGCAGCTGCACCTTCAAGGGGAGAGTCTCTCAGACAGACTCAAACTTCCCGACTCGCTCTTCCTGCGCTGCCCGCAACTCACCGCTCTCTCCCTCCCTCTCTCCCGCCTCCCCTCCTCCCTCCTCCTCCTCTCGCGCCTCACCTCCCTCGCCCTCGCCCTCCCAGAAGAGCACATGCCTTCTCAGCTCTCCCTCCCCTCCCCCTTCTCCAACCTCCGCTCCCTCCGCTCGCTCGCCCTGCACGTGCCAAGCACCCTCAGCCCCTACTACCACCCTGAGGACGGTAGCAGCTGGAGCAGCGTCTCTGGCGACCTGCTGCTGGGGCTGCCCTCCTGCCTCTCCGCCCTCTCCCTGCACCTCCCCACCTCCACCATGCCCTCTTCCTTCTCCTGCCTCACTTCCCTCACTCGCCTCGACACCAACCTCTGGATTCCGGGACTGGATGATGCGGACGAAGGGGTGGTAGTGGAAGAGGAAGCGGGGGAGGAGGTAGGGGAGATTGTTCCAGAAGAAGAAAGCAACGAGGAGGAGGACGTTATCAACGGGCTTCCTGATGCACGCGCTGCCTCAGAAATTACTGACGAGAGACTGCTGCCTCTCTGCAACCTCACCTCCCTTTCTCTCTCCCACTGCCTATTCTTCCCTCCTCTCATTCGCCATCTCACCCGCCTCACTTCGCTCTCCCTCCCATCCCTCCACCGTGCACAAGGCTCCGGTGTCAACAACACCGCTCCCTGCTCTCTCCACCACTGCCTCTCTCGTCTCACTCGCCTGCACGACCTCTTCCTCGGTTGCGACAGCGGAGCCTGCCTGCCCCGTCTGCCCCGCCTGCGCCACCTGCGCGTGCAATGCCCCGATGAGACCGTGCACGTCGGTCGGCTCATTGCCCGCGTGGCACCATCCCTGGAGCAGCTTGACATAAGAGCCGACTACCTCAATTACACCTCGGCAGATTTTTGCACGGATAGCTGGCGCAGAAACGGCGACGAATGGAGGGCGCCTGTGTTTCACAAGCTCAAGGTGCTGCAGCTGGTGACGTCAGGCCCTGCTTCCAATGTGGACATGTCGCTCTTCCCTGCCCTCGAACACATGGCGTTAGCTGGCAGCCGTTACGTGGCCTGGAAGGTGGAGAGTGGCTGCTCTGCCAACCTCCGCTTCCTGCACTTGGACCGTGCAAAGCTGTCGGGGTATGACAGTGAACCTCAGCTGACGCAGCTGACGGCGCTCACCACTCTGGTGGTCGACAACGCTGACTGCCGGGACTTCCTTGCATGCCTCTCCTGCTTCTCAAGGGCAGGGAATGGTACGAGCATTCTCCCTGTGATGGTAGCTTTGAGAGTTGAGCATGTGCTGCTCCCTCTTAGTTCTTCAACCCATCTCCACACCTTACGTAGTTCCCCAAATATTCCTTCTCGGGTGCTACGGTAACGAATGCTAAGCCTCCACAACGGGGGGCCTAGGGCAGAGAGAAATGAATCTTTCTTTCGATGCTGTCTCAACTTACCGTATTCTCCCGGATATAGGACCCTCCCGAAAAAAAGACCCCCGGGACTTTTGAACGGTACTGGGACTATTAATTTGTAGCACATGTGAGAGGACCCCCCTTTTGCCACAAAACATTTTAAGACCCCCCTTTTCTGTATACAGTAGTGAAAAATATATATGCGCGTCAGCTTTTAGAGGCACAGAATCCGAAATTTGACGCGTCATTTGTATCAGAATCGGGTTCTGACACACCAATCGTGTCGGACACGAGATCTGACGCTTCTGACGCACCCCTAAATTACATAAGTGTACTTGATCAATAAGTGTACCCGGGACTCTTACAACTCGTACCGATTAAATGTTCACCCTAGTCATTTTGCCTCTGTTTTAGGAAAGTCCCCCGGGTCTTATATCCGGGAGAGTATGGTATTTGTGGATCAGGCAAGGAACTCCTCCCTCTGGTGCTCTAGGGCCTAGTCGTCGCCATAATCCACATAACGCGTGTTGATGTGGGTTGTCGTGCGATGAATCTGGCCTTGAACTACCGCCAGGTCAATTTGCCACACAAAATAGTAGAAGAAAAGGAAGGAAAGTTACAACCAAAGAGCGGAGCAACCACGACTGAAAGCGCATGCGTCAATGTGTCCTTGACCAGTGCTTGCACGCATAAATGTGTGGTGTCTTTGGAATCACAGCAATTGTAAAAACTTACCTGTCGATGCTGGAACGTCTTGCTGAGCACGTTCAGTTGTTCCAGCACGTCAGCGAGGAAACGCAGCAGGAACTGGAATCGATAGCTGGTTACCATCTGGTACATGTTTTTGTTTCCCACCTCGTGCACCATCACAACGACACCTGGCAGGACTGCAAGAAGTCGCCCGACTGCATCTCCGCGCGAGAGCCAACGCACGTCACGTATTCCTTGGAGCTCCATGTTAGTCTGAGTGAAGACTTCCTCCAGGTCCAAGAACCGTTGGTGCCAGGGTCTGTCAGAAGTAGTAGGAGAACGGCCTAGGCTTAGTAGCCTAGGCCACAGTAGGACTAGTAACGAGGAGCCAAGTACGAGCTAGGAATGTGTGTAGGAACAGAATTGAGAAGGAATGATTGAACTAGCAAGCAGCAGGATACAAATAGCAAACCCTAAGGGGCTGTACTCACTATAGAGTACCCCACTGCAGGCTACACAAACAACATATTCTGACACACCCCCATAGCCAAAGTGGGGTGTAATCAGCACAATGAGCAGTCATAGCAATAGTTCATAATTATCAGCAAAGCTAGAGGCTATCACAGAGGGCAAGTGAGGAGGAGGAGGGACTATGAAAGGAGAGAAGATGGGAGGCGACGACTGAAGCTGCAGACACACGGGCAACAGAAGCGGCTGACACAGTGGCGGCTGACACAATGGCTACCGAGACAGAGCGCCCCGGAATACTGGAGTAACTAGCTCTGCGGCTACGACGAGCGGCAGAAGCAACGGACCCACGGGCGACTGGTGCAGCAGGCTCTCAGTGGCTACCGAGACAGTGCGTCCCGGAATACAGGAGTAACAGGCTCTGCGGCTGCGACGAGCGGCAGGAGCAACGGACCCACGGGCAACAGGTGCAGCAGGCTCTCTGAGCTACCAGGACAGTGCGCCCCGGACTACAGGTGCGGCGGACGACAAGACAGCAGCCTCCACTCAACCTCCCCCAACAGTCCCACACCCCTCTCACACACCCCCTGCTTCACCCCTAGCTCCACTCCCACATCACCCCCCTAGTGCCACTCCCCACGACTCCCACACCTCCACCCCCCTCAGCGGCAGCTGCAGTAGTGGGAGACGAAAAAGGAGGAGGGAGAACCCACACCTCTCACCCCCATGCTCGCCACCCCACACCCCAGCCACCGCGGAACGCACGGTGGAATGGGAGCAATGGGCAGCACGGGGGGGGGGGGGGGGGGGGGGGGGGGGGGGGGGGGACGGGGCGGGCTTCTGCAGAGGCGGCTCGCGCGGGTCCTGGGGCGGCTGCTGCAGGTGCGGGCTGCTCCAGGGGCGGCTGCTGCAGGTGCGGGCTGCTCCAGGGGCGGCTGCTGCAGGTGCGGGCTGCTCCAGGGGCGGCTGCTGCAGGTGCGGGCTGCTCCAGGGGCGGCTGCTGCAGTGGCGGGCGGCTCCAGGGGCTGCTGCTGCAGTGGCGGGCGGCTCCAGGGGCTGCTGCTGCAGTGGCGGGCGGCTCCAGGGGCGGCCGCCGCAGTTGAAAGGCAGAAGGGGGGGGGGGGGGGGAAACGCACGGCCCCCAGGGCGCCCCGAGGGGCGACGAGAAGGGAGCCGCGCGGCCCGCCCCCGGGGCGCCGCGACGGGCACCAGGGAGGGCGCCGCGACGAGCCCCCAGAGCCGCCTCGACGGGCGACGGGGAGGGTGCCGCGCGGGCCCCCCGAAGTCGCCTCGACGGGCGACGGGGAGGGCGCCGCGCGGGCCCCCCGAAGTCGCCTCGACGGGCGACGGGGAGGGCCGCGCACGGCCCCCGAAGTCGCCTCGACGGGCGACGGGAGGGGACCGCGCGCGGCCCCCGTGGTCGCCACGACGGGCGACTGGTGGGGAGGCCGCGCGGGCCCCCAAGGTCGCCTCGACGGGCGACGGGAGGGGAGGCCGCGCGGGTCCCCGAGGTCGCCTCGACGGGCGACGGGAGGGGAGGCCGCGCGGGTCCCCGAGAGCGCCTCGACGGGCGCTTCGACGGGAGGGGACCGCGGAGGCCCCCCCAAGGGCACCACGACGGGCGCCACGGAAGGGAAAACCGCCAGGCGCCCCGAGCGCGCGGCGGGCAGAAATTAGGGTTTCGCCGCCGCGCACCACGGGGCGCGCGGCGGACAGTACGGCAGCGGAAGCGGGTGGTGGGCCCATACACAGGAAGGCGGCAGACATGCCGCCCTCTGATACCATGTCAGAAGTAGTAGGAGAACGGCCTAGGCTTAGTAGCCTAGGCCACAGTAGGACTAGTAACGAGGAGCCAAGTACGAGCTAGGAATGTGTGTAGGAACAGAATTGAGAAGGAATGATTGAACTAGCAAGCAGCAGGATACAAATAGCAAACCCTAAGGGGCTGTACTCACTATAGAGTACCCCACTGCAGGCTACACAAACAACATATTCTGACAGGGTCCAGATGACCCAAGGTAGTTGGAGAGCCAGCGGATGAAGCTGTCGACCATGCCAAACTCAGGAAGGGACTCTGCCGCGTCCTTGGCCGCGAGAGCTTCCCTGCCATTCAGACAAGCAAGAGAAACATTTGTGTAAGTAGCAGGGTGGCGTAGAAAAACATTCGCATGGAACTCAAAGTTTAGGGAGAGCGCATCAACCCGCATATTTGTGAGCGATGCAGTGGCAGGAAACCAGGTGCGGGATGCGTGTCCTGAGCCTCGCCACCAGCCCGTTCTTGGATCCGACCATCACGCTCGCTCCGTCGGTGCTGATGCCCGTGATTCGACGCAGGTCAATGTCGACGGCCTGCGCATGGGATAAGAGCAACCCCACCAGCGAGGCTACGTCGGCCTTGTCCACGGTTAGCAGGGCGAAAAAAATCAGTAACTACTGCACAGTCGCGGATGAAGGTGGCGTAGATGATGAGATGCTTCGCACGGCATCTGTCCGTAGACTCGTCACAGCTGAGGCCGATGTAATGGCTTGTTAGAACTGGTTCCAGTTGTGTGGTCTGCAGCCACACAGCCGTTGCCTGTGTGAGTTCCCCGAAGTCGTACCTGCAGCCAGACTGAAAACATTGTCCGCGATTATAAGGTTGTTAACAAGTAGGACTTAGCACTGTCAAACTCATATCATATAGCTTGTCTAGGCTATAGTGGGGTAGACACTATGGGGTACAGTTTCCTAGGGTTTCCTACTTGTACCCAACCTTGTGCTAGTTCATTCATTCCTCATTTCTTCACATGGTATCAGAGCAGGTTCCCTAGTGGGAACGCTTCCTTGGGCCCACCACTGAAATTTTTTTTCTGACCGGAGCGCCAGTCGCTCCTGCCCGAGGCGCGCCTTGTGGGCCGCCCTTCTGTCGAGCTCCCTTAGAGGCTCCTCTCACGGCCCCTCGTGCCGCCCCTAGCGGCCCCGTCGCCGCCCTTCCAGGCCCCTCGCGGCCCCTAGCGGCCCCGTCGCCGCCCCTACGCGGCCCCGTCGCCGCCCCTAGCGGCCCCGTCACCGCCCCTAGCGGCCCCGTCGCCGCCTCTCTCCCTACGCGGCCCCATCGCCGCCTCTCTCCCTACGCGGCCCCGTCGTCGCCCCTACGCGGCCCCGTCGCCGCCCCTACGCGGCCCCGTCGCCGCCCCTAGCGGCCCCGTCGCCGCCCCTACGCGGCCCCGTCGCCGCCCCTAGCGGCCACGTCGCCGCCTCCCTCCCTACGCGGCCCCGTCGCCGCCCCTACGCGGCCCCGTCGCCGCCCCTACGCGGCCCCGTCGCCGCCCCTAGCGGCCCCGTCGCCGCCACTACGCGGCCTCGTCACCGCCCCTACGCGGCCCCGTCGCCGCCCCTACGCGGCCCCGTAGCCGCCCCTAGCGGCCCCGTCGCCGCTCCCCTCCCTACTCAGCCCCGTCGCCGCCCCTAGCGGCCCCTTCGCCGCCTCTACCGGCCCCGTCGCCGCCTCTACCGGCCCCTTCACCGCTGAGCCGCCCAGCAGCTGAGCAGCCGAGCCACCAAGCCGCCGAGCCGCCGAGCAGCTGAGCCGCCCAACAGCCGAGCCGCCGAGTCGCCCAGCAGCCGAGCCGCCGAGCCGCCGAGCCGCCCATCAACCGAGCCGCCGAGCCGCCCGACAGCCGAGCCGCCCAGCAGCCGAGCCGCCGAGCCGCCCAGCAGCCGAGCCGCCGAGCCGCCCTGCCGTCGAGCCGCTACTGTTCCTACCGGCGCGCCCCGGCCCTCCTTACTCGGACTGGTGAGATCACTCCCTGCTAGGCCACTGCAGTCA